TGCAGGGTTTGAAACAAAAATAACATCTTTGGCAATACATTCATCTTTACAGCTGCGATTCTTCCCAACAAGGAAAGTTTTAATCTTGACCAAATTTCTAAATCCTTTTTAATTTCTGACCAACATTTTTCATAGTTATCTTTAAATAAATTCAAATTTTTACCAGACAAATTGACCCCCAGGTACTTCACTTTTTTAACCACATTTAACTCCGTTTCCTTCTGGAACCCATCTATTTCTGAAGGTGTCAAATTTTTTGCCAAAACCTTAGTTTTTTGTTTATTCAGCTTGAATCCCGCCACCCGACCAAACTCGTAAATTAGTTCTAAAACTCTTTTTGTACTAGGCTCTGGCTCCTGTAGTGTTAAAACCAAGTCATCTGCAAAAGCTTTCAGTTTATATTGTTTTCTTCCGACCTGTATTCCTTCCACCAACTGATCCTTCCTGATCAAATTCAACAACACCTCCAGGACAGAGATAAATAACAGAGGTGATAGGGGGCACCCCTGTCGTGTCCCTTTTTCTCAATTAGCAATAATCGCGCCTCGGATTAACCTCATTGGCTACGATACTGCCACTGCGCAAAGCTTGATTATTCCAACTATCTATCTGGCTCAACCTAACAATTCCTCTCACTCTCTCACAATACAGCTCGACCAACCCACTGCCTATTCCTCCCTCTTCCTTCTCCAACTCCCAAACCTCAACTCCCAAACCTCAACTGACTTTCAAAACCTCCCACTCTGTAACTTTTACTCCCCCCTTGCATTCTCACTGGCCAATCACATCACACTCATTTTAACCCTTTCCTTATGACCCACCTAGGAGGCAAACGCCACATGGATGTAACACGAAACCATGGTTAAAGATGACAAGGAAGAAAGAGTGGAATTTGCGTTGAAGTTGAGGGGAGCGTGCATTCTGAGGCCTGGCTTCTTCTCCGCAGGAGCCCAATGCTATATTTGCAAGCAGACCTAGGCAGGGACTGAGGCCGTAACAAATATACAGAAATCAGTCAGTAACGCTGGTTTGGATGATTTACCCAAATAGTGGGATAATGCACATCTGTGAGTTACGGCCTTTCCTGCCAACCCACAGGAGACGTACCCACTGTGGTGTCACCTGTGGTGGCATGTCCCCTGTGGGTTGGCAGGAAGAGCCACAGCTCAATGCTTTGCATGTAGAAGGTCCTGGGTTCTATTGCCAGCGCCTCCAAACAGGGCTTGGGAAGGAGAAGTCCTGGAGAGCCACTGCCAGTCAGTTTTGACAATTCTAACGATCCAGTGGTCAGACTCAGTGTAAGCAGCTTCTTATGTTTCTCCTTCTGCCTTTAGACTGAAATACAGTGATTAAACACTTTGTTTATTCTAAACCACTGAGCCTCTTAGGTTTGCCAGTCGGAAGGTTGGCGGTTCAAATCCCCACGACGGGGTGAGCTTCCGTTGCTCTGTCCCAGCTCCTGCCAACCTAGCAGTACGAAAACATGCCAATGCAAGTAGATAAATAGGTACCACTGTGGCAGGAAGGTAAACGGCGTTTCCGTGTGCTCTGGTTTCCGTCACGGTGTCCCGTTGCACCAGAAGTGGTTTAGTTATGCTGGCCACATGACCTGGAAAGCTGTCTATGGACAAATGCTGGCTCCCTCGGCCTGAAAGCGAGATGAGCACTGCAACCCCATAGTCACCTTTGACTGGATTTAACCATCCAGGGGTCCTTTACTTCTCAGGGTGGCATCTCAAATGGTACTTCAGTCATCTTTGCCCAAGGCTTTTATATTTTTTAAGACAACAGGTTTTTTTGTAAGTAGATCTTTACTGAACTGTAATTTGTTCCTATATGCAAAACTGCCAGTTTAAAGGCTGTTTTAAGTGGAGAGCAAAGCTCATCTTCATTGCTATACTGAAGGTTCAATGTAAAACCAGTAGTGTAGTTTGGTGCTTTTGTTTGGTGCGAAACAGACTCCCAGTGCCTTTCCATAGTTGCATCTAGTCTTCATGTGCTTTTATTTTTTTATTTTAAAAATTATTCATATGCAGCCCTCTTAAAAAGGTCAGAGCTATGTAAAAACACCATGAACATTTAAAAGCAATACAGAGTATTTCTAGATTACACACACATTCTGTTTCTCAACTATTGGATTCTTCTAGGGCTGTTGATGGTGATCCTAGACATACAAATACATTGTACCCCTGCTCCTAAAAAAATAAAATAAAATAAAATCTGTGCTCAGCTGATCTGAAGGAGGTTGATAGAAGAAAAATAAGGGTGTAAGGATGCTGTGAAGAAATAAGAATGGATACTTCACACAAAATTAACATCTAAGAGCCAGCATCCACTTTGAGGGATCAATGTTTATTTTACTCATTTATACAGTTACTTAAAGGCTGCCTTTTGGGACTTAGGCCACTCAAGGCAGTTTTCATAGTGTAGAAACACAACACACACACACCCCAAAACAAAACAACAGCAGCATTAGCAATCATTTTTTAAAAGGCCAATTAAATAAAACAATACAAAAATCCTGCAATCATGAAGCTATCTGTCATCATATAGATCTCCAAGAACAAAAGCCCCAAATATATGGGGGTTTTTTTAGTTTTAATGGCCTCAGGTTTGCAGTGGTGGGCCAAATGCACACCTAGGGGGAGTGAGTTCCACAGTTCGGGGGCCGGCACAGAAAAGGCCCTGACTCTTACTTATCCTCACCTACCGACTCTAGCAGAGATGTAAGGTTAACTTTGTAAAGAGTTCAGCATTACTGTCTGGGGTTTTTTTATTTGAGGCATTGCTTTACGGCAGATCATCTTTTTTTAAAAAAACATCAAAACGCAATTTATGTCATTGTCTTGGCAAAAGCTGCATGCCATCTTGATTATTCCTTCCTTCTGAGGGGGAATGGCAAGAGTTCTCCCTTGCCTGAAACGGCTCACCAAGCTTTGTTCACAACTGCTTCATTATTAACAGGTGTACCATGTGTTCTTCAGTAGTGCCTAATTTCCTGTGTGTAGATCCTGGTTTAATTAACTACATCTGTTTGAGGCTGCACAGAATGATGCATATTATTGGGTCTCTGGAACATTTATGGCGGCGATAAAGATACAGGTGTTGCCTACACTGCAGCTATCATTTTCCCATCCTCTTGATAACATTTGGGAACACTCAGTCCACAAGTCTGGGTTAGATTGACCCCACCTGAGACCTCATTGTATTTTTTAGTATCTGATGTAATAATTAGCATTCATTACATGAAAGTTAAACCCTGGTCCTTTGCTTTCTGTGCCCTCCTAGCTTCCCTGCTACAATTCTGCACACCTGACTGGAGCGTGGTGCTAATAATACCCCCAAAAATCACGGATTTGATCCCCGTAAGCCAGGATTTCTATTTCTTTAGTGGTATTGTAGGAGTTCTGTCTATATATTGCAGTGGAGTGCAGAAATATATATGGGCTGAAAGAATTGAGGAAGCCTAAGGCAAGCAAGCAGTTTGAAAGCACGTCAAAGTGCAAGTAGATAAATAGGTACCGCTCCGGCAGGAAGGTAAACGGCATTTCCGTGCGCTGCTCTGGTTTGCCAGAAGCGGCTTTGTCATGCCAGCCACATGACCCAGAAGCTGTATGCCGGCTCCCTCGGCCAATAAAGCGAGATGAGTGCTGCAACCCCAGAGTCGGCCACAACTGGACCTAACGGTCAAGGGTACCTTTACCTTTAAGGCAAGCAAAGCCATTTTCATTTACAAGCTTACATGTGGCCATCACAGAGTCATGAGGTTAATGACAAAAACAAAATGTCGTAACACTGAAGAAGAAGCAGGAAGGAAGTAGCAAGTTTTTACTCAGAAGGGAACAACAAGTTGCCTTCATCGACCCCTTCTGGTTCTTGTAACTTATTGCAAACATTATTGCTTTACTCTGGACAGGTAAAGCTGTGTGTGTGTGTGTGTGTGTGTGTGTGTGTGTAGAAAGTCCCAGATTTTATGTTCCGTTAAAGATCTGGTAACAAGACTGGGGAAAGTCATTTGTCTGAAACCTTGGAGGGGCACTGCCAATCAGATTGGATGATACTGGGCAAAGGAACCAATAGTTTTGATTCTTGTATAAAATAGTTCCTTAGATTTCAGGGCAAAATCCATGACTTTAAGGGAGAACCTGGCATCACAGTGACTGATGGTGGAATTGTCTTTTCTAGAGGCAGAAACAGAGCTGCAGAACTAGTACCCATATTATCCTTAGTACACACTGTTAGAGGAGTGCATCGGCTAAATGGTTGGATTAATTTAATCGCATCTAGTTCTGGGAGGCAGAATTGACTAGGCAAGAGCGGGAAACCCTTTCCAGCCCAAAGGCCACATTTCCTTCTAGATCACCTTTCAGGGACCACAGACCAGTGTCGCATATTTGGTAGGGCCAAAGGCAAAGGTAGAAGCAAGAGATGTAAATTTTTCCCTTTACACCCCTCTCTGCCCTCCATTCAGGCAAGAAAGGGGGCATGATCAGAAGTCAGTGACACATTCCTGCCACACAAAGCAGGACTACTGAGGGGTGTGGCCTGGAGACAGTTCTGAGAGGCAAAAAAGGGGTCCTGGAAGGCTGCATTTTAGCCCTAGACCTGATGTTGAGCACCCTGCTCTTAAGGGAACTGGGGTCCATCCCAGAAGACCTAAAATGCACAGCCACTTGATGAAGAGACCTTTGATTAAGGTTCTTGCTTTTTCCAAGGTACTGTACTTGATGACTTACGAATCAATGAATTGTAATGGGGGATCAAATCAGGGCATCAATGTTCCAAGACACAGCGAGTTGCAAACAGTCACCTAGCAAACATCACAGCCGAGCGGTGATTTAATTTTGGATCTCCTGTGTACACACTCTGTGTGCTAATGGACCACTGACCTTTCGTAATGTATCCCATTTCGTGCTGGGATACATCTGGTAAGTGACCGTGATTTACAGTTCCTGCCTGGCCCTCAGTCAGCTTTATCACAGTATTATTGTCATTTGCAGGTCTTGACTTCATTCGAGCGGAAGGCTTTGTTTTTTCTCACGTGGCAGATGAAGGGATTCTGAATGCCTGTGCTGGCAAATTGCTCAGATACCGGAAGCAAATTGGAGCAGAACACATTCAGGTTTTTGCTGACGTTAAAAAGAAACACAGGTAATTAGGGTTCACGCCAAAATGTGTTAGAAACCTATACTTGCCAAACATGCGCTGTCAGTGAGTTGGCTTTCGCCTGCATTAAATTTGTATGGTTACCACTCACAAGTGACAGAAGCCCTAAGTTTTACAACTGAGTCTTCCACCAATAGACCAATGGCTCTGTTACTGCAGCTACAAATATTCTCACTCCCAACTTAGCCTTTTAAAGTAGTGAGAATTTGGAAGATTTTACCACTTGGAGGAATGCACAGTGCTCAGGTTGTACTTGCCACGATGCTGGACTAGATGGGCCACTGTTATGATTAACAATAGTAATTACATTTGTTACTTGTTGAATAATTGTATTTCTCACAGAGTGGCCCTAATGCAACTTGCATTAAAAATTAATGCTTCATCCAGCAGGCTCTTCTTAAGTCCTTAAGCATTCTGGGATATAATCTGGGAATGTGTGGACTAAAAAGATTTGCTATAGAATTACATCTGGAGAGACTGAATACCTGAACACCAGCTACACTGATGTGAGCGTGGAATGTCACTTGAGAGTGATTTGTTCACTTCCTTGATTTATTACATTATGATGGTGCTGGAAAGCTGGCCCTCCACTTCATGGTGGTAGTGGTGGTGGGGGAGCTTCAATAACTTGGTATGGCTACCAAAAGTAAACAGGTTGGGTTTCTGTTGTTGGCAGTTCTCACGCTCTGACAGCTGATGTCAGTGTAGCAGAGACGGCTAAGGCTGCTGAATTCTTTCTGGCTGACGGGGTCATATTGACTGGAGCTGCCACTGGATTGGAGGCAGATCCCAAAGAACTGGAAGGTGGTATGATTATGACGATTATATTTATTGTATTTACTTATGTCCTGCCTTTCCCCCAGACTCAAGGCAGCTTACAGATAAAATAGAGCGCACAAAATGCAAAAAGCACACCAAAGAGCATCATTAAAAAGTAATTAAACTACAATGGAATTAAAACATTGTAAAAACAAATTATTAAAATATAGATAATGACAAGAATAAAAACATCACAGTGCTATTAAAAACCCTTTCCTGGAAGAAGAGGAAGAAAAGTTAGTTTTGAAAGGCCTGCTGGAATAAAACAATCTTTAGCTGCCAGTGGAAGAACGAGATGAAGGGAGCCCAGTCTAGCTTCTCTGGGAAGGGAGTCCCAAAATCTGGGATCAGCCGCCAAGAAGCCTGCAAAGGCACATAAAGTATACAGATTCACTATTGCTAGAGAGATAGTGTTCCCCTTGCCAGATGAACCCTGGAAAACCAAACATGACACAAAATTCTATTGAGATATTGCTTGCTTACGTACATTGTATTGTGTTTTTTTTATCAGTGCGTGCAGATTTGTTTGTTTCAAACATGACATGTGTCCATTGTTTTAGCTCTTACATAGTATAATGCAATTGGACATCATTTTCTCCAATCTAAAGGGTATATGTTACCAGTAGTATCCTTTCTCTAGCCACTTGTGGCAAATGTTTCAGTTCCTGTCAGGTATAAGTAGCTGTCGTATTAAGCAGCTAGCCAGGAAAGTGGATATGTACATACATATTTCTCATTTCTCTTAATTAAAAAAAAGAAAAGACGGAAAGTCTTGCTTTTTGTTAGCTGTTGCTCATGAATGATGACATTCTTCATAACCTTTCTTAAAAGGTTATTTCTAATGAAGGTAAATTAAAAACATAACTCTTAACATGGCAAGAAATAGGAGATTGCACTTGGGTCTGACATTCCAGCAGGAAGAACAACATCTGACAGAGTGGAGTATAAATAATAGTGACTGGACACCAGTGGGAGTTTGATTTTGCTAGCTGGTTCCCAAATGCTTGATGTATGTCCTAGGAGAAAGTAGCTGGAGCAATTAAGTGCCTGATAGGTTTGGGGGCAAAGATGCTATCCCTGATGTCCTTACTTCAAATAGGCAAAATAGTCTGTTTTGATCTCCGATTGGTTCATTGATTCACGAGTCAGCAATGACAACCTCTTGAAATAAGGAAGAGTCCTATATATATCATTCTTTGTCAAAGGTCTCCGGTCTTCTGAAATGGGCACTTGTTCCTTTAAGAAGGCTGTCTAGCCAACTCTGCCACCAAGGGCAAGATCCAACCAAACTAATCCAGCCATTTATCCAATCTGCTCTTCAAGACTCCCACTGATTTAAAAACAACATCAGAAGAGCCTTCTGGATCAGGCTAATGGGCCATCTGGTCCAGCATCCAGTTCTCACAGTGGCCAACCAGATGCCCTATTGAGAAGCCTGCAAGCTGCACATGAGGATGATAGCGTTGTGCTCACCTGCAGTTCATTCCCAGCAGCTGGTGTTCAGAGTCATACTGCCACCACTTTAGGCAATACGTTCTAGTGCTCCAGTGCTCTGCCGCATTCTTCCTTCTATATAGCTCAAATCTTCTCAGCTTCAGTTTAAGCCACTTTCCGCTTTAATAAGTTTATATCTACACCATACATTTAAGTAACTCTTATGCCGCTTTAACCACCACAGAGAATCCTGGGGACTGAAGCTTTGTGTGGTCAGCACCCTTTACAACAGGCACCCCCAAACTCAGCCCTTCAGATGTTTTGGGACTGCAACTCCCATCATCCCTAGCTAACAGGACCAGTGGTTGGGGATGATGGGAGTTGTAGTCCCAAAACATCTGGAGGGCTGAGTTTGGGGATGCCTGCTTTACAAGCTAGTCACCAGGACCCTTTGGTGGAAGCCATGACTGTTAAAAGTGGTGCAAAATAGCCTGATGTCTCCAAAACCAAAGCTTTTTTGGACTCACAGTAGCTACAGAAATGTCGTCTTGGCCAACTTACTGTCTACTTTCTTAACCTAGTTGCCTTTTACCATCTAAAGTGTTAGAAATGCTGTGAAATGCTACAGGGTGGCGTTCAAGGAATGTCATCTGTAATATTGTCTAACAGGCACGATTTCTTCAAATGGGGGATTATTATTGTTGTTGTTATTTCCTTGGCATAGTTCAGATGTTTCAAGCACAGAATATAATCAACGCCTCCAGTTTTTTACTTCTCTTTTGAAGGGGGATAATGGAAGGGATGACCCAGGTGGTGCAATGGATCAATGTGTCTGGCTGTTAGCCAGAAGGCTGGTATTTCGAGCCCGCCCAAGAACAGCTGTGGACAGGATTCATGCATTGCAGAGGGTTGGACTAGATGACCCTTGGGGTACCTTCCAACTCTACAATTCTGTGATTCCAAGAAAACAATACATCAGAGGTTTCTGCGACACACCTACACGGGGTGTGGATTCTTTGCTATAATTGCTCCTGAGTGTTTACTCAGTGGCACGTGTGGCCTCACAGGTGGCTAGCATAGCTCATTCTAGTGCAGCAATTCTGAATGGTGAATATGAAGCAAACAAGCTTTGTGTTTGTGTGTGTGTGTGAGAGAGAGAGAGAGAGAGACAGACAGACAGACAGACAGAGATAGGGAGAGAGTGCTTGTCTATCTTCTAATGGAGATCTATGACAGCAAATTGAGCCTGTCTCTGCCACTGGAACCCTGCTGCTGCTTAAGTGTAGACACAATTGGATTCCTTTCATCATATTACAAAATAAACCCATTGACAGCTTAAGCCAATTTGTGTTTTGATCTGATCACTTGTCTCTTTGAAAGCTGAACTGAAAAGGGAGGAGAGTGAGATTATATCACATTTGCTTCCAGCATTGCTATGCTTCTCTTTTTTTGATGTTGGTCATAGGAAGTGGGAGTTGTATGCCTTGTTGCTGTGTTTGCCGGCTCTTTCGAATTAATGGAGCAATTGAAAAAAAAAAAATACAGTGCGCTACACGGCAGTTTAATGACAGCATTTCGTATGGTGCAGTGGTTACTGAATACATCTTGATATAAAGAGGAATGTTAACACTTAACAAGTCAGCCCAGGAATAGAGAAAGGCAGAAGTAATGGAGCAGACCAGCAAGAGCAGGCACAGGCAAACTCAGCCCTCCAGATGTTTTGGGACTACAACTCCCATCATCCCTAGCTAACAGGACCAGTGGTCAGGGATGATGGGAATTGTAGTCTCAAAACATCTGGAAGGCCAAGTTTGCTATGCCTGAGCAAGAGGCAGAGTGCAGAGGGACTCAGCTCTGCTAAAGACTGCTCATAGGAGTGAGGAGTAATCTTCAGCCCATGGGCTTAATTAGGTCCGCCAGGCCTTGTAGGTTGGTCTCCCTGGCTGTTTTGAGTGAACTACAGCCATCTTTTGCATGCTTGACATCATGTAACGTTGGGTGCTGACAAGTTCACCCTGAGGCTGCACAGAAAGACTCATATGTATGCTCCCAATTTGATGTTTTTCTGCCGTCCTGCACGGCAGCAGAAAAAGGTACCTTAAAAAAACAACCACCTGGCTGCAAAGGAATAAATTGGAGCACACTTTAGAGTGTAGTCCAGATTCTTTCTCTGCAGCCATAGCTGGAACTCAATCAGAGTATGCCAAGGAAGAAGCTTGAGCTTTGCATCCCTTGACATGGCAGGTGGACAGCCTATGGAGGGTTGGCCACTTCTGGGTCTGGCCCTTGGACTGGATCTCTTTCTCTAGCACTGGGCTACTTGAGAGACCTTGCTGTTGATGAAGCAAGGTCAAAAGCCCTAATGCATCCTGGTATTTATGCCTAGAGAAACCAAATATTGTTTGCTGTCAGAGCAGCTGAAGTGAGGACACAGTGAGTCATGGATGGTGGATAGGCGTTGTTCATTCAAAAGCTCCCCCTAGTGCTTTATTCCTTGTGTTCTGAGTTCATAATAGAGAAGGACTTTCCTTAGAACGCTCTTCTATGTCCTGGTTTGAATGTATACATTCCGCTTAATAGACTGTGCCTGCCACAAACCCTGTCCTTGTGCTTCCCATTCCCCAATTTGGATGTTACAGGAAACCATGGCCATATGAAGATTTTCTGGGTTAATCACAACATAGTGGTCAGGAAACCCAACAAGTCAGAATCTTAAACCACGTAGTGAAGTTGGTTTAAGATTCTGTTTGGTTTTTGTTTTTGTTTGTCCCAGGAACCACAGTTTAGTGGTTTGGAAGTCATAGGCAATTGTGATTGATTGCTCCAAAGGTCCAAGGAAGGATGGAATGGCAGCAGGATGTAGCATGTGGGCAAACGCCTCATGCATTTCTTAAGAAGATGTATGATAAATACATTTGAACTGGACCTATGTCTCTTAAACCTTAGAAGTATGTGAAGCTTTGAATTGAAATACACACTTTAAATAAGTATGTAATACCCAGCCTCCACCGTATGTGGCCATTGCCACAACTTGCCTTCATTTATAGGGATTTTAAAATCAGTTTCCCTACTTAATTTTCTCCAGAAGTTGGATGTGCTGTGAAGATACCAGTGTTGGTTGGATCTGGAGTGACTCTGGAAAACTTGAAGAACTACTTGGGTGCAAATGCCTTGATTGTTGGTTCTTATTTCAAGAAAGAAAGCTATTGGGCAAATAACATTGACCCGGATCGTGTGAAGCGGTTCATGGATTACGCTGCTGAACTGAGAGTGTGACATTGTTGGATCCTATGGTAATCATACACAGCCCTTATGCCACTATGTATCCTTTAGTCCCAACACCTTATCTTGTAACTTGAAGCCTTTGGTTTGGGTCCTGCTCCATCTTCCATGTGACAGAATGTTGCAGAATTTTTTGAAGCACCGGTTACCTTGTTCTAAGGGGATCCTGTGTTGGACTCCAAATCCCATCATTCGTGACCATTGACTGTGCTGGCTTAGGGCTGGTGGGACAGTCTTAACAATATCTTGAGGGCCACAGGTTAGCCACCTTTGCTGTAAGACCAGAAAGAAGTTCTAAGTCTGAAGTCTCTCCCCATCTTCCACCCACCCCTGCTGCCCCAAAGCAGTCCAAATGTTTCCTTTGTCATGCTACATTTCCCCCCTAATGAAATCAACACTAGCTTCAAAGGCACACTTTTAGATCTCCCTGCCATTAGAACCCAAGACACCAGCTAATAAAACAGCATAATGTTTTTCAAGTGTTATAAACACAATTCTAGGAAGCCATTTAGAAACTGCATTAAGAGACACCGATAATGACTGTTTAGGAGTGGTGATAGTTGTGAGGTGGGTTTTGTATGTGTGTGTGTGTTTCTTTTTACAAATACTGACTTGCTAGAAGTCACATTCATTCATTACTGGGAAGGTGAAGCTATAATGTGTTACTGCAGTGATGCACGTTAACGGGGGGGGGGGATAAGATCACTTGATTCGCTCCTTTATACTCATCTAATTCAAAGTGTAATCATTGCTGGTGCCGTTGGAGCTGTGTCCAGACAAAACTCATGTGGAAGCCCAGCATCTTAACCATTGCTGGTTATTTGCAGTAATTACTGCCAACTGTGCCAGGGTCCCAGTGTTGTGCCCATATTGCAGCTGCAACATACGAAGTGCAGCTAAATTGTTCATCGCTTGATGACTCTCTGCTGAATGTGCAGCACTGAGGTGGGCTTTATCACCGATAGCACCAGTCTTGTAGAATGACCTCCCTGTTGAAATGCGAAGAGACCCCATCATTATTGGCATTCTGCCGGCTCTTGAAGAGCACACCTGTTTAGGCAGGTATTCCCCTGAACTTGAGATCTAATTATGTGTTTTTTAACTGTTCTAATTATTAGAAATTTTAACTGGCTTGTTTTCTTGCCTTTCTAAATCATGGAAGCTTTTGTTGCTTTGATTGAATTGGTTTATTGTGAATTTTAATTGCTTACGGATTTTACAATTGAGTTTATACTCGTAAACTGTTTGGATGGCATATAGGCAGTATATACTTTAATAAATAAATAAATAAATAAATAAGATGCTAAATAATCATTTGTGAACTGTCTTTGGTGAAAAGTGTGCTTGAGATGTTGTCTCATATATATTTTTCCTCCCTGTATGGTTGCTGTTTCACATGCACAGCTCAACACAAGATATGGCAAGCCTTGTGTAATAAATGCATGCATGTCTAAGCTCAGTCTTTCAGAGTGTTTTCAAGACGGGCCATTCTACAATCTGGTATGTTCCTTGAGGCTCAGTGATAAGTGACAGTAGTCACTTATCCCAGCACAGGATCAACCTGACACAGATTTACATATTCACTTGTTTTGCTTATGTATTAATGTATTGAATTTATATGCTGCCTTGAGCTCAATGGGCATTTCAGGGTCTGAAGCACAAACTCCTTGGAATCCCAGGGCACAAGTCTGAAGGCATGTGGCCCGTTTTGCCACTTAAGGGGAAACAGAAATTGCCACTTGGCTCTGCCATGCCGCCTGCCACTGCACTGCCTGCCACCTCCGCCATTGGCAGACAAGCAGCACCAGCACCAATTTATGGTGAGAGCTCTTGTGAGGTTTTGCACTCCATGAGATCTCATGAGATTTCAGCAAGATCTCGCCATAAATCAGTGCCAATGCCGGCACCGCTTCTCCACCAGTGGAGCACTGCCTTGGGGGCTTCCACTGCCTGAGGAAATACAAATGCTCATAGGGACAACATGGGGGGGGAGTAGCAAAGAACCACATCCAAAGCAATGTTTCTTATATACTTCCAGATTATACACATGACTTCTATTCAACCATCAAAGGATCGCATCAGCCTTTGCAGTTGCAACCCAGGTGGAATCTACACACACATTTTTAAAAATGCTGTGAAAAAGCTTTTTTAAAAAACGTTTTGAAAAATACATTGAATTTTGCATAGCTCACGGTCGCCATCTAGTGCCACATTTGTATATTGCTCTTTATAAAATGTTTATTTGCAGCTGTGTAGATGAGTCCCCTCCCTTCATGGATCACTGCCTTGTCGTGGCGAAGGGGCTTGAATAACTCCAAGAACCTATGAGTTATGCCATGCATGGCCACCCAAGACGGACAGGTCATAGCCGAGAGTTTAGACTAAATGTGATCCACCTGGAGAAGGAACTGACAATCTACTCCAGTATTTTGCCAAGAAAACTCTGTGGACATAAAAAAGGAGAAGCTTTGAGAAGAAAGAGTTTCCAAGGCATGGTCTGGTTCATTGGGTCATGGAGAGTTGAACACGACTAAGACGACTAAACAACAACAAAGATGAGTCCCCAATGTTACCATCCTGAACCAGTCAAAACCGTTTAGCTCTCCAGATCAGCCTTCGTCATAATATGTGATTCCATATAACAATTTATCAGTGTCTTTCTTTCTTAAGACTTTGACTAATTTTCCTATTCATTAAATGTCTCCCAATATCCTATTTCACCTACCTGCGAAACAGTTCAAGATTAATCACAGTTGCCATGCCTAGCCGATTCTCTTTTCATGCATACAATGGCCATCATAGATTTCAGGGTTTTGGAGTGAACATTCACTACGTACAGTTCTGTACTATGAAAGTTTAGGCACAGGCCTTTTCAGTTTAGCTAGGGCCATAGGCTCCAAAAAAATAAAAAAATAAAAAATAAAAATATGGAACTATCAAAATGATAGTTTTATGTAATTATTATTTTCTTCAACATCGTTTGTTTTAGTCCTTTAAAATAATAAAATCACCTTGGCAGAAAGGTGGTATATAAATAAACGAATGACTGGATGAATAAATATGCAAATTTAAGAGTATGGTTTTTTACACAGATCTGTAGAAAAAAACAAGCAGTCGCATGCTGCAACTATGTCCCAGTGTGCTGCAAAAGAGGAAGAATGCAATGCACCTGGGGGGGGGAACATCCATTTCCTGAATGTGCACAGTATTTAGAACATGCATCAAAAGCTTCATGGCGTCTCTGTTTAATTACTGCAGCTCCACGTACCAAGTCCAAGCACTTTAGAAGCTGCAGAAAAGCCCATAATTTGGCCTTAAATTATGAGGCGCCAAAAAAAAGGAACTAACTGTGGGATTTAGTGGGCTAGCATCAAAGTAAATCTGATTTTAAAATCCACAGGGGAAGATTGATTGCCTCCCCTTTATCATGTTCACCGCTGCAAGTATTTGTGTAGTAGCGTTAAGCATCTGCTTGTCTGTTGCAAGCAGATGCTGTAAGTAGGATTTGACCTTTCTGTTTTGGAAAATTGCTTGAATGTTTAATGTTAAAATATTAAGTTATCAGAGCAGCTCATCTCTTTGGGAGAAAGGAATGCTCAATTTTACACCATGCGGGTTCTCAAAGTAACCATAAGAAGCATGAATAACTTCGGAGGAGAACAAAGCAAGCCATGTTAATGTGGAGGAAACTCTGGAAGTAAATAACAGCTGTTCAAGGAGACATCTCTTAAATATGTATTAATTAATTTGAAGTGCATCGCTTAAATATGCAAAGAGATTATCTTGCGTTAATTTACATTAAAACACTACAGCACTTGCCAGGTTCGTTATAGTATCCTAAGCTATCACTCCAGCCTACGCAACAGCATTTTGTTGGGTGTTGATTGCTTTCGATTTGCCCTTTTAAAAATGTCAGATAGCTGCCTCTTGTCTGGTAGGATCTGTCCTTATGCACACATTTCAGGCTTGCAAAGTTACTGCAGTTTCTATCTGGAGCAATATGGGCTTAGACTGTAAAGAGAAAGGACCAGGTAAAGGAGGGGTTAGACTTAACACTCCACAGAAAAGGGTCAGAACCACAGGTTTTGCTAACTGAGGAGTCCCCAGTCCTGAACGTGTGGTTAAAGGGACCCCCAGATTCCTTATTCTGAATTGATTGTAGCCAGTGTATGAAATCTTGTTCTTTTTTATCCAGGGTGGGGCTTCCATAGCTAGACTTAAGACTACATTTCATTGTCCAGTCTCTGAAAATGGTAGCAGGATAGTCCGTGTTCAGGGAAGTCTTTAGTGTTTGATGTTGTATTGTGTTTTTACTATTTTTTGTTGGAAGCTAGTTGTTGTTTGTTGTTGTCATCATCATCCCGGTCGTCACTTATGAGTGGAAACCTGTCGCAGCAGGATCTTTAAAGATCTCCCTCTGCTTTGCAATGCAGACTTTACAGCCCAATCCTTTATGTGTCAACTCTGTTGAGCTTAATGGAATTTGTGCCCAAGTAACTGTGTATTCCTATACAGTGTATCTGAAGAAGTGTGCATGCACACGAAAGCTTATACAGTACCCAGAACAAACTTATTTGGTCTCTAAGGTGCTACTGGACAATTTTATTTATTTATTTATTTATTTATTTATTTATTTATTTATTTAGATTCCTTCCTTCCTTCCTTCCTTCCTATACAGCCTTAGGCATATCTGCACCTGAAGGCAAAGCAGTACACTGGTACCTTGGGTTACATATGCTTCAGGTTACATACGCTTCAGGTTACAGACTCTGCTAACCCAGAAATAGTACCTCGGGTTAAGAACTTTGCTTCAGGATGAGAACAGAAATCGTGCTCCAGCAGCGCGGTGGCAACGGGAGGCCCCATTAGCTAAAGTGGTGCTTCAGGTTAAGAACAGTTTCAGGTTAAGAACGGACCTCTGGAACGAATTAAGTACTTAACCTGAGGTACCACTGTAGTAGAAATGAGGAATCTTCTTGTTTCAATCATTAATGGTCCACAATTGGACATTTCCATGTATCAGAATTTCCTTATGCGCCCACCATAATTGCATTATTCTATTTTAGTCCTTTCATTCTGAAATTGCTTTTCTATTGAGCTGTTCAGGATCTCTAACGGCACAGCTCGCTTGAATCTGGGGGACTCAGGTAAGGGATTATGGTGGTGATGTCACCCTTTGCATTAGGCAGAGGCTAGATCCTTGTATTCAACATGACCCCTGCTCTCCTGGACTAAGACAACAGCACTGAGATGTGGGGTTCTTAATACTTACTGCTTCGTTATCTTGGCCTTTTCAAGCATACTGTCCTCGGTTTCTTAACCTTATTGCCACATTAGTCATGAGGACTAGAAACCTAAGAGATGAAAGTTTCAGGTCTGCAGGTTTCTGAGCTGCAATAAAATGGGGTAGCCTTCATTTGTCCTGTAGTTTGTGTATTGCCGCTGAGGATTTGCAGATGCAGAATGCAGGTTTTTTGCCAGTATATTCCTGGTTACTTATTTTAATTGGAAGCAACAGATACTATTTCTAGTAAGACCTGACTTTAAAGATAATGCAGTCTGTAAAAGATTCGTATGTTGCTAGAGATTGGTGCTGCTGGAGAGAGAAACTACGACATTTTGTAGCACTTTGCATTTTCAACAGTTTATCAAGGTTTGAGAGTGCAGATTTCCTTTGGGGGAAATTAGTTCTTAAGTTTACAAAGTGCCCCTGCCATAAATACCCGTAAAAAGGACAATTTGGTAGGTCATGTTTATTTTTAAGCAGGTCAAAGGACATTAGTATGTTCAACTACATAAATCTGTCTGGTACAGTACAGAAATCCTCATGCCTTCATATCTCAAAGGGTTTTGCTTCTAGATCTGTAGAAGTGCAAAAATATTGCTACACAATGACAAATAGAAGGTGTGTGGGTGTTTTCCTCCCATCCAACACTGATACTTGTGTTTATTGATTTAAACCATTTATATACAGTGGTATCTTGGGTTACATACGCTTCAGGTTACATACTCCACTAACCCAGAAATAGTACCTCGGGTTAAGAACTTTGCTTCAGGATGAGAACAGAAATCGTGCTCCGGCAGTGCGGCAGCAGCAGGAGGCCCTATTAGCTAAAGTGGTGCTTCAGGTTAAGAACAGTTTCAGGTTAAGAACAGACCTCCGGAACGAATTAAGTACTTAACCCGAGGTACCACTGTACTGCTTAACTACAGAGTCACCGTAAAGTCACCACCAGGTTTGCACCCAGAAGACTATTTTGAATCAATGAGCCTTCTTGTTGGTGGCTGATATTTGCACTGAAAACTAGAGC